TATGCTTTGTCAGTGTATAGACCATTATTCGTACTAAGACCATGAACATCAAAAGACAGCGACGACCACAGCCGTTATATTAAAGGGACATACGTAACAAGGGCTAAATCAGTTGTAGCCTCAGCAGTGGTACTTTCAGAGTTCTGTTTTTTCGATCAATTTATTTGGTCGATAAGTTTTCATGTTACAGACAACGGCAGGTGAAAACTTTCTCATTCACTTTGAATTACATAAACCCACACTCAGTTTTGCTACGTTAGTTTCTGACGTCCCACTGTTAATGATTTATTGATTGGTTTGTGGGGTTTAACGTCCCAAAACCACCATATGATTATGAGAGACGCCGTAGTGAAGAGCTCCAAAAATTTTGGCCACCTGGGGTTATTTAACGTGCGCTCAAATCTGAACACACGGGCCCACAGCATTTTCTCATCCATCGAAAATGCAGCCGCCGCAGCCGGGATTTGAACCCGTGACCTGCGGGTCAGCAGCCGAGTACTTTAGCCATTATACTACCGCGGCGGGGTGTGACATCCTGTATATAAAAGCCTAAATATACAGACCGTCATTTCCCTTCGAAAGGTTATGGAGTTTTGGGTGCACTTCTGTTGAATTCGTATAAGTAGGCGAACGCAGCTACTGTCAGCTACAACCTAAATATAAGTACCTAAGTTCCGCCCACTGCCGTGGCTGTCCCACCAAGCCAGAGTTCGCATGCATGCCCCAACCATTTGCATACCTTCATTTCGATGTCATCAAACGCTTTTCGCTTATCTCAGGCTCCTGACTTTTCCAAAATACATGTGGTAGTCTCAATATATAGTTTCAGGTCAGAGAACATGAACTTATATATACTTTCAACAAAGATTCGGACTTCACTGCTGAGCGAAACGTAACGTTTGAAAAAGGAACGACAATCTTTCAGTTCATTATGTGCGCAGTATTTACATTACGAAAAGAAAGACACCCATGGCTACTACCATAGTTTTCTAAATGGAACTCTCGCGCTGCGATCGTTCAGCTACCACTAGAATGATGGGTAGCACATCGATACGCCTAATTCCCATTTTTTCGGCTTTATTGGTTCTGGCTTTATTGACGTGTTTTTGACGTTTGTTTCGATCAAAAGACTGGGTCGACATGGACTTGACGAATGGAACTGGTTAGCCCATAGGATTTGATTGATTGATATGTGGGGTTTAACGTCCCAAAACCACTATATGATTATGAGAGACGCCGTAGTGGAGGGCTCCGGAAATTTCGACCACCTGGGGTTCTTTAACGTGCACCCAAATCTGAGCACACGGGCCTACAACATTTCCGCCTCCATCGGAAATGCAGCCGCCGCAGCCGGGATTCGAACCCGCGCCCTGCGGGTCAGTAGCCGAGTACCTTAGCCACTAGACCACCGCGGCGGGGCTAGCCCATAGGAAGGTCAAATTAGTGAAGTAGAACTTCTGAACGCTCGCTGAACTTCTTCTTCCGACAAAGCGGCCACAGACTACACGAAACCGACAGAGCGAAGCTTATAAACAAATACATGCAGTATCAATTACTCTCATGCTGCCCTAAGCATCATGCACTGCAGCTCTCATGTATACATCGGCACCACACTTAGGCTACATAATAAGGGCTACGTGCCGATACCAAGGAGGCAAGACATAGTACCCCACCAGGACGTGCACTTCAGCTTAAAGTCAAGCGCACAAACACGTGAACCGGAGAGGCACGTTCCACGACGGCAATTACGGGAAGACTGCGGCGTTAAAGCTCGATATCTACGCCCCGACACGGGAAAAACAGCCGCTTCCATTTCCCACCATGCACGCTCAGACAAGGCCCTTGCGGCTGTTCGATACACTTTAACCTTTGCGAAAGATAAGGTGGCGTGGACGTTTTGGAAGCACGGCGCACAGTTATCACCGAGCACTTTTATCTGAGCATCCGCGTTGCTACCGAAAACCATGGATCGTACTTGGATTCGAGAACTACGCACTCGGTAGACCGAAACTGCCATGCAGACGGTGGCTTCGCACTTGATTATCGAATCTGCAAACCCTGAAAGGGCCCCAAAACCACTCCAAGTCTAAAGACTAGGGAGTTAGTTCTTTGTCTTCAATAACCTTACTATAGACAATAACATCATCCTCGCAAACTATTCGTAAAGCATGCCCCGCCGCGGCGGTCGAGTGGCTAAGGTACTCGGCTGCTGACCCGCAGGTCGCGGGTTCGAATCCCGGCTGCGGCGGCTGCATTTCCGATGGAGGCGGAAATGTTGTAGGCCCGTGTGCTCAGATTTGGGTGCACGTTAAAGAACCCCAGGTGGTCGAAATTTCCGGAGCCCTCCACTACGGCGTCTCTCATAATCATATCGCGGTTTTGGGACGTTAAACCCCACATATCAATCAATATTCGTAAAGCACGTGTAAGACGTCTGCACTAGCTTCAAACCAATATTTCACAGGGTAGTGACGATTTGATTGCATTCAGGACACGCGGTGACAGTGTTCACACATTATGTTTCTTGGCTTTTCCTTTATTTTATTTTTCCAAACCAGTATCTAGCAGTCAAAGCATCGTGAGGTGCTACTAAGAAAAGCTGTGTACTTTATCTTGGAGGGACACTGACGTCGGGCTGGCGCAAACATACCTCACATGCCTCTGTCACGCACAAAGAAAAACACAAGGTGAAGGCCAGCCTGTTGTCGTGTTCCGTCTTCCGTGCCTTAGTTCTATTTGTCCCGACAAGGTTCTTCAAATACAAACCAACAACAAATAGATGAAACGAGGATTCTCCTAACACATATTTGCGTTCTACACTTAATATATTCATTATGTACGTCCCAATGTGTGTTATTTACCAGTGCGTCTTAAAAAGAAGAATCATTGATAGATTTTCGAAGCCAGCCGGTATTTGCTGTGCTGGTTATGCAAGCACTCCCTTACGTCTGACCCCAGCACATTGTTAGAAGTAGCACAGATTTTACTAAAGTGACTCATGCAAATGTCTTCCGACTGCGGCGTAACTCTACAATGTACTTAACTCAGACTTGACTGTCGTACGCTGTGCAAATATAATGTTCTGATGCTGATATATATAACTAAGCACTGTGTTTTGGCTTGCGACAATGAAAACAAATAATGAGAAAATTGATGACGCAGAGCTAAAAGTTGCGTCAAATTCGACAAGAAAGCATATTTTTTATTGCTAATATGCAATTATTTTCAAGAAACTGAACCTAATCTTTAAATATTTAAGTAAAGCTATTTATGTTTCTGTTCTGACACACTCATCCCGTGGACAAACAAACGTCAATCATAATGTTAAACAGACTCAGTTCAATATTCACTATACCAAGCTTCGCTGGCTTCATCTAAAGAGTAGGGGAAGGGGCTCTGAATTTTCTTCTGCAGTATCTTCTAAGACATACGCTACAGCCTGCATCGCACAAGTCACTACCACTGCGTCCGGCAAACCTTAGTGAATAATCATAATTGCAAAAGAACGCGCCATTCTTTGTAAGGTCGCACTGCGATAAATCTGAGACAAAAGCACCTCACCTACACTGAAAACTGCATTTACTGACTGTTCCAAAGATAACCTCACTTTGCGAGCTGGAAGTGTATGACTCGAACAGCGAGCTGCACACAAGAAATGTGCTCACGTGGCATCTGTTCGATTTATGTCTATTGATTATGGGTGAATCCATTAACATAAATAATCACTCACAATGTGTAAGTAAACAAAAGAGAACAAGCACAACACCAAAACACAATAGAATCAAAACTACATTCTTCTGAGCCCACTCGCCCCGCCGCGGTGGTCTAGTGGCTAAGGTACTCGGCTGCTGACCCGCAGGTCGCGGGTTCGATTCCCGGCTGCGGCGGCTGCATTTCCGATGGAGGCGGAAATGTTGTAGGCCCGTGTACTCAGATTTGGGTGCACGTTAAAGAACCCCAGGTGGTCAAAATTTCCGGAGCCCTCCACTACGGCGTCTCTCATAATCAAATGGTGGTTTTGGGACGTTAAACCCCACAAATCAATCAATCATTCTGAGCCCACTCTTTAATATTAGTATAATACATTCGCCTAAGGTAAGCAGCTATACAGAACACTTCCAATTTTCTACATTTTCTGTTCGTTTCTATTCTTCGTACACTTGTAAAAATCAATAGAATGTTTTTACACGTCATGACTTCCAACGAAGGTTGCCAAGTATCTATCCCGAGTTGATTGATTGGACTCAAAAGCACTGCTTTTGGGCTCAAAAGGACCGCTTTTGAGACCAATCAATCGCGACCGTTTCAGTTGATAAAGTTCACACAGTTGCACGCGCTATAACTCAACAATATGTCTTCGATAAAGAATATGTCAGTTGACGCACCCTCTTGCACATGCTTCGAACTCGCACTGCGATACTCAACCGAGTGTACCGTAAGCAGCACGGTATCTGTAAAACATCGTATCAAAACATCCAGGCTACTCTTACCCTAAGCAAACGCTATATAAGAACTGCGGATCACCGATTAGCCAGTGTTTCCCTTGTGTTTGCCTACTCTATGTTCTTTTCGGGAGCTTATGCAATATTTCATGCCGTTTTTCGTTGTTTACTTGTGTTTATCTCATTTGTTTTGACAATTATACACTACGTGTCCCATGGTCTCATTTCTGCCGTTTTTCTACTGTTAGCCCCTCCTAGAGCGGTGTTTAACCATCGCTTCTCTGTTCCGTAGATCCGTGTGACTCCCGACGCTGGCGTCTTACTGTCTCGGGCTGTCCTATAACAAGCCCATCGGCGACATTTAGCGCTTCACGGGCAAGCGTGCACCGGCGTTCAAAGCGCACGTCCTCCTTAGCTGATGTGTATCAAACGTCGGACGTGCCTGACCTCACCTCGTGAGAATCACATAACAGGGAGGTTTCTTAAACTGCTCGGCCCTTAAAACGTATAGCTGTGGGGCTATAGGCCAACGGTGCCGCGGCATGCGTCCGCACTTACCCGTTTGGCGTGGTGCACTCCCTGCAGTCGGCCGTGCGGTCGATATTTCCGGGAAAAAAAACCGCCGTTGCAATGCCGCCCTGCTCCAACAACTGCCTTCCGCTGTGCCCGCCACCGCCACCAGCGAACTGACACCAGGGACGATGTACACTGAAAGCCGCTTCCGCCAGCGACTCGTCAAACGAAGCGCACGCAGCCCAGTCGTTCCATTCCACAGCGCGGGCTGTCAACAGTCAACACAACAACACCACGTGCTTTTCTTTCTTCTTTTCCCGTCGCCAATGATGATATTTGGGTCACCGATCGCATTCCTATCTCTGCAACTTCGTCCCAAACAGCGAATCGTATTCTTGAGCGCTAGCAAGCTAAACTTGCTTTCAGTGCGTTACTAAACTGTGCTTTATCGAAAAGCGAGCACACATTCACAAACTCCGCGCGTCTCGGAAAATAGCGACGACGCAGATGCGCTCCCTCAGCGCAGTAGGGCGCTGTTGTCGTGTGCGGCACCAGTGCAGCGTTCCATTCGCACTTTCGAAAGGCAAGCGAACTCTCCCAACGGTTCGATAGTTCTTTTCCGGAGGGTTGGTGTTGTGCGATACAGGCGCCGAGACGATGCGTCTGCGTCGCATCCGGGCTTGAAAACCGCCGCCCCATCTTTTTTTTTTTTTCTTGGCAAGACGCCATTTGCTTGTCAACCCCCCAGAGGCCGCTTGCGTGCTTTCATGTCTTTACTTTCTCGACTTCGTGGCCCTCGCGTATCGCTTCCGTCCAGTTTTTCAGCTTCGGGAATCACGCCGTGGGTGGGTGGAGGCGTGGTAAAAGGAAGGAAAACGAAAAGAAAAAAAAAGCAACTCTAGGAGAGTAGAGGAGAGAAAGACTCCACAAGAAAAGGACGCCGCCAGTCACCGCCACTCGTAGCCCCTCTGGCCCCCTCCTTGCCACGGTGCTCCTTACTCTCCTCGGGCTCCTAGTTGCCGATCGGCGGTACCGCGGCGCCATGGTGGCGAGCAGGCGAACCGTGTAGATGCAATAAATATAACGCCCGTCTTTTCGGGCAGCGACGGCTGCGCGTGTAATTGCCCTGGCGAGCGTTGCAGCCAGATGGCGGTAATGCTTGCAGACAAATGGATGCTTGTTTTCTTACGCTGGAACAAAGAGGAATGCCAAGTTGGAAGGAGTCGTAAAAGTGCGCGCGCGAGCGCGAGTGGAAAGAAGGTCAGGCAACCGGCGCTCTGCTCCAATGTATGAATGGACATCGAACTCAAATGGCATCGAAGGCTTTAGTGGCCGTCACATAACGCGCACAGATAGGAAATTTTAGGATTCAAACTGATTGCCTAAGTGCGTGTCAGGATAGAAGAAAGGGTAAAGTGAAGGGAAAGAAGGTAAACTAGGATTGGGTACAGTGAGCTACGCTTCGCTGAGGAAAGGGAGAACTGGAGCAAAAGAATGACGGAAAGAGAGAAAGTCTGATGTAGATGTTGCTGACGTAGCATTCGCATTATATATTTCCGAGATTCAGAGATGACCATTCACTAACGATTGATCCTGTCGTCTTGGCTGCACTGCACGGCACGACATAATTAACTCTAGTATGGATTGATAATGGAAAACGCCAGGTGAACAGGCATTACACGAAGTCTCGCTTGCTCTATCATTTGCAGCTGGAGCAATGGGGGGACAATTATGTCTGTACCACATGGTAGTTCTTCTGATACTATGATAACAATGAGATTTTAGTCCGCGTTAATTACTATATATGTAGCTAACTGGCATTTGCAGAGATTTTTTTTTTCAGAGAAAGATGTTCAATAACCCGTTATGCACGTTCGTACAAGCTTCTATCTGTGCGTGTATACATGCATATACAAAACTGAAAATTTTTTGTCGACCCGCAGGTCGCGGGTTCAAATCCCGGCTGCGGCGGCTGCATTTCCGATGGAGGCGGAAATGTTGTAGGCCATGTGCTCAGATTTGACTGCACGTTAAAGAACCCCAGGTGGTCAAAATTTCCGGAGCCCTCCACTACGGCGTCTCTCATAATCATATAGTGGTTTTGGGACGTTAAACCCCACATATCAATCAAATCAAATCAATCAAATTTTTTGTCCGAACGTCGATACCACAATACGCTCCCCCTCCCTCCACTCACTACTTACGTCTATGCTGGCTCAAGAAACTCACACCTGGCAAAGAATAGGCGGGTCGTGCGTGATGCGAAAGTCCAAATGTTATCCGTCCACAAGATCACACGGAAGGTTCAATGGGATGTACGCCTTTCACAGCTGCACACAGGTTATATGAATCTGAATGGAAATTACAGCCTCTAAGTGGTATTTATGTCGCTTTACATATGTTTAACCTGATATTGCCGTTCATACACTGCGCGCTTTTCGAATGCCTTCCGCATATGCATCCTTTCTCTTATAAAGGAAAATATACAGATATGTGTACAATACCAGTCGCCAAATTTCCAGCTTCCTAGTGAGTCGGCAGACGCTGGTACTACTAACGTATGGTAGCACAGACGGCAAAGGGCTATCTCTGTAAAGGAAACGTGAGGAGTCATTTGGCTTCAAAACTGAAACAGCCAACATTAACTCTGATATCTCGGCTCTCCGACAGCTCTCATTACGCTCAGTTTTATCTGGAGACTCGTGTGACCATGCGGACGGAGATAAGCAGGCTAGAAATTTCGTTATTTCTTGGGAACCACTTAAACTTATGTGGATTCCGATTACTCTGGACGGAGGCATCAATTGCTGTACCGTGTCTGCCAACAAACGCAAAAAGAGGAATTGATCAAGGGCTGGTTTTCTGTGTTAGAGCTAACCTAATGGAACGAACAACCAATAATGCCAATAAAGAATGTATAGGACAATTACTTGCTGTCTTTACTAGTAATGTGGTAGGTAATTATTGTTGATATGAATGAATACAAAAAAAGTCTACAAAAAGAGAACTTGCCGCATGCATGAACCGAACCAACCACGTTCTAATAAAGCTTCCGATATTCTGCCAATCAACGCCTTTCACGATAGTTACAGCGCCCCTGACGGCGAGACTCAAAATCAAGTTGGTGGCTTTCCGGTCGACGAGAAAGCGTAAGGGCTTGTGCGTTCCTCGCACCCATGGCTTCCGAGATTGCGATCCACCTGGTGTCGGAGGCCCATGAGCCACCAAAACTATTTCGGGGTAGCACCGTCAAATTGTTTTCGGTGCGCGTGCGCAGAAGGTTGCCCTCAAAAGAGTTCGATTAAGCTAAAGCGGCGGTCGTCCTCCCATAAACTTTATCAAGTGCTTTTGTGCCTATAAACCTCGATGATATGACGGCGAGTGGGAAACACTCCTTTTCGCCTACCAAACGTGACACAGGGCGATATCAACAGACGCTAAGCAGCAGCCAACAAGTAGTACAGTTGATTTGATGGATATGTGGGGTTTAACGTCCCAAAACCATCATATGATTATGAGAGACACCCTAGTGGATTACTCCGGAAACTTTGATTCTTGGTTGTTTTTACACTGCCCTCACACCACACAGTACACGAGCCTCTACCAATCCACCTCCATCGATATACGTCCACGGTGGTTGGCATCGAACCCACGAGCTTCAGTTAAGCAGCCGAGCATCGTACACCCACGATCTACTGGGTGGATGCCTGAGTATGAAACCTCAGGGCAAATGGTTGGTGTAAAATGAACTATATTAGGCAGATACAACGTTGCTAAAGCAGTACGCCAGTCATTGTTCAAAGAAATCGTCACGGTTTAGTGACGTGGGTGAAGGCAGCATACTCAATGTTCAGATGAAACGGTTTATTGAGCCGCAACTTGTGGCCAGAAAACTGAAGACCAGATTGCAGCAACACATGGACACTGATAGCGGCGAACAGAACGTCGGTATTTATACGCTTGACATCGAATATACTGACATTATCGCTAGTGGTGACGTGGCTTCCAGAATAATCTGTAGTGCTCGCAAAGTGGGCGTAATCTTGACGAAATAATCTACATCAGTCACGAAGCTTCTCGAACACTGCAGGCGCCGTTTGCGCCGAGAATCGCCGACAGTGAAACGGGGCGATAACACAACTCAGAATGTGGCAATATGATCATTTGCATATTTTATGTTAGGTTTTAAAAGCACGAATTGTCAAGAAAGGAGCAACACTCGAGATGAAAATGAGGGTGAAAAAAATGAAAAAAACTTTCTATTTATGCCTGCGCACCTATAGAATGGGTGGAAGGAAGCAGTAGATAAACGATTTCTGCTGGCGGCAAGAGCAGATTTGCTGAAATCGTTATTCGTAGAGGGCCCTTGCGAAAAAAAAAAAATCAATGTCTGACTACAGTGCGGTGCCGCGAGAAGCCTGGATCCAGTTTGGAAAAAATGGACTTACTATGAATCTGATGAATGAGTTCATGTTTTTTTTTTTATTCAGCTGGTGTCCTCAGTCTGCTGATAGGACAGGAATCAAGCCCATCACCAAAGCTCATGCGCCTATGGCTATGTACTTGCGCAATGGTAAAATGAACTGAGTTTAAGCAGCATCAGCATCGTTTTGATAATCTGCCATGTTGACAACTACATGCGTTTTTGAAGCCCCGTGGGGTGCGGAGATGACTTAGCAAGTTTCAGTCAAAAGAACTTCAGCTGGCATTCTGCCGGTGGCGTGTGCTATATATATCTGTGTAATATTAAACGAAAAAGCCAATTCCCTTACTCGTCAAAAATGTACAGATTATATAGAACGCGAAAGTCAGTGTGACTGTATTTCTTTGCATACACATTTTTCCCCCGAAAAGGCACGGTTGTGCCAAAAGGGCCATGAACACAATTTAGACCCCCTTTGCCGAAGCCAGTGGGCTAGACCATTCGAAAGAGTTTATATTCTAATGGACATATACCCTAGAAAGAATTCCACATGGGCGTCTACAACATAATCTCGACATTTTATTGACACTGCAAGCGAACAGCTTGAGGCGTCATAAGTGTCTTCCCAGGTTGAGCTGGAGGTGTGCATCATGCTGCGTTTACGCTGGAATTAAAAAATGTTTCACAAAGATCGTAAGAACAAAGGAACTCGGTTTGTGATATCGGGGAACGGCGAACGGAAATTTATTTACGTCCTCTGATATTGGGTATTACGTCATGTAATCCTGCCTTCTATCAAGCTCAGCCAGGGTTCACAATAATCTTTTTACCAGTTTTGTTGATCTTCGTACTCCGGATATGCAGCAATCAATCGATGCAGTGGTGGACAGCGATTCCCTCGATCACATTCTGGCATCTACCGCGAAGCAACCACTATGTTTCTCGAGCCCGTCAACACGGGTTCTGCATGTAGTTTAGCAGAAAGCCACGAGCATTTAATGCACCATCCGACACGAATCTTGCCATGAATGGTCCAGACGTTGTATCTGCAAAACAGAGAAGTAACAGGTGATTTAGTTAACACTTCACAGGTAACAAAATGTAGGACGAGTGAGAGCAATGCCGATATTTTAGGGCATACTAAAGGTGTTTTAGTCTGTCAATAAAATGATTTACCTCATAAAATTATGCGATATTTATTTGGGCGGTGAATAGACCTTCATTAATCATGTCACCCAGAAGTACCTTCGCGACGATTTATGAAACCTGTTCTCTGGAATGCTTTGGGTGCTACATGTGACTCTTGGATATGCATTCCCTGCAAAATATTGCGTCTGATATAAAAGTATAGTTTACTTTAAATTTGTTACAACCAACGTATATATTGTCGTAAGCCTGTCAACATGCAGTCCGTTATAGAGATTGATGGAGGTCGCTGCTCTCACTCGCGAAATCGAAGACAGGTGGCGCCACTGTACCGTGATCAACGTGGAGGCTTCGCTATTTGGTCACACGCCCCTCCGTATAATCGTAATGCATTGGTATTTTAGAACCTGTAAAGTCCTTTGACGAGATAAGAAAATTTTTCTCATTAATTTCGTTACGCCGAGATAAGACAATGTAATGGACCATATTCTGATTCTCGTGTTTGGTTTGGCCTAGGGCGCGATTCTGGAAATCCTCGGATTCTGCCATTGGGTGAATTCTGAATGGCACAGAGGAATGCTGTTACCTCTGTGATCGGTTTAAAATAGCGCCTTTGCAAAGTTTGACAATATCGCCGAATTAGATTGTTTCCACGGTAACACCCACAACTCCCGGCTGTCAATTAGCAGGACATTGAATGATGTTACCTAACGCACTCAGGGTTTGCCTAACATCAAAACCAAACACGTTTTTTAAGTGCACGTCATTTGGATCTGTAAATAACGCGCAGACACTGGCTTATTTCAACATCGAGTTGACAATCTATCAAAGCATTGCGATGGGGCATGCCTCACCAGTGACTGGTGCGTTGACAACGGGGTTGGGCATTTCCGTTGATGGGTTAAGCTTGGTGCCGCAATATCTGACACCACCGAGAAGCAGGTAATCCATGGTGCACTCGGTCACACCTAGACCCGCTTCCGTTTCATCTTTGGAAAAAAAAAAGAAACACAAGTTTTGTTGCACAGCAGATAACTATTTTGCGGGAGTTTGACATGCTTAAGAGTGTTCGAGCCAGTAAGGTAAAGAAAACAAGGATTGATACACGCGACAAGCAGTAGCATTGGGTACATGAATCGGTTTTTGGGGTAAGCAAGCTTGTTATTTTTTTTTTAAATTTTTAGGTGCCTTTATTATGTCAGCACCTCAAATGTCATGATGGCGATGGCATGCATGAGACTTACAGAAGGCTTGCGAAGCGAAACAAAAAGAAATTGCCATAGATCCCACAATACATTTACTCCCCTAGGGTGCCACATGACGTCTTTCCTACGACGCCATTGTTGTTCGACTTCAAGATGAGTTGGTTTGAGCACGAACAGGGCAATAGTGGTGTAATAACGTCAAAGTCAAAATTTTCTCGCATGAATGTTCTAACTTGATACAGCTCAGGCTCTAATAATCTCGTATTACCTATTAAACGAGGTAGTCAATAACGCTCTAATTGAGTAGACCTTATATGCTTCTAAACCACCATGGGCGTCTAGTGGTTAGGAAGCTCGGTTATAGTCGCATTATCAAGCCCCAGCCCGGACAGCCACATTATATAAGGGAAATGCTTGAAGCGCTTGTACTTAGATTCAGCTACACGTTGAAGAACTCATGACGGCCGAATTTCCGTAGCCCTTCACTACGGCTTAGTTCCATCATATTGTGACTTTCGGACGTGAAACCCAACAATTGTTGTATATCACATGCTGACATAAAAAATAACACGATATCTCTAAAGAGTTCTCTTTTACTACGAAGAGATAAGTCGCTTGCGTACTCGTCGTGGGTGCATTGTCAGCGCCAACGTTCTGTATTGAGAAGGGCACATTCATTCCAGGAACGGAATAGGTAATGGAGCAGTAGCCGGCCTCCTTCCTAAAGCACACGGTGTAGTCCAGGTTGTTGAGGTAGCCACGCCTCGGGGGTATCTCCTGCGACTCGGCGTAGTCAAAACTGCTGAAGTTTCCGGTTGTGCCGGTGTAGTACTGCAGACAGTTGGAAGGTGCTGCAGGGAGTTGCGAAGACGGCACTGTCAGCGCACCCGGTTGCTTAAAATGTGATCCCAAACTATAAACAAACCCCAACAAATTATCATCAACCAGTGTGCGGTCTGGAATCATACATATTATTTCTAAAGCTGAGCTTAGAGCAATTAGTTAATGGACGCGAATAAAAAAATGCAATGTAAAACGGCTGTTTATCTTCTAGGTTTGGTTTGTTCTTGCCTCATTGCCTCTATCAAAAAGAAAAAAAAGTGTATACTTTCATGGTGGGATAGAAGCTAAAAAGCAGCAAATAAGAAGATGAATGCAAAATTTATACCTTCTTTAAAATCCTGTTTTGTCAGTAACGGGCGTTAACGTGTCTCATCACGCTGTCGAAACTACCTTAGTTTATATCATTTATATCACGTGCTAAGTTAAAGGCCTTCCAAGCTTGAAAAAAGCCAAATTATTCAGCCAGATTGTGATTATGCAGTCAAACTGTGCCCAAATGGTTACCGAAAAAATCCCTGAAATTTTGTTTTTTAAGGGTTTTCTTGACTAGAAGGAATCTCCCGGTGACGAGAACGCCACCATCTACGTTTTTGTATTCTGTAAAAGTTAGCTGCCTGAAGTTAATCAGTTTATTACAAGATAAGCAAATGTATTGACTGAGTAAACGACTTTAAGATGTGTTTCTGTGCATTTTTGTAGGCAGGATTTTTTTTAAAAGAACAAGAGGACCTATTTAAGTCCTTAAAATACCCGTATTGTCATTATGTATGCTGGGTAAAACATCACCCCCTTTCCCCATTCGAATGTCCGAAGGGAGCTCTAGGGCACCCTCTCCCTGGCTATGGACCTGCTTTATGCTAGCAGAGTATCTGTGAGGGCTCAATGTACAACCGTGCTCAAGTGAGTTTATCTTTAAAAGATAATTTGGCTACGGCTCAGGTCAGAAATGTACTATAAAATTGTTTTCAAACTACTAAGTAAAAAAAGTACTGTATTATAGGTACATACGAACATAATCATTGGAAATAGTCTTTCTATTTATGGTAGTTTTTAAATTACTCCGACAGATATTAGTAGAGAAAACCAGGTGTTCTTCAAACGTCTCTTTTTTGTATAATTTGACTTCTCGAACCTTGAGTCTTATGCATTTTGAGAAGCATTGATCTGCGGTATTTCAAGATATACTGAAAAGATAGTCAGCTGTTTGTCATTATTTAAATGATATCGATCTTTTTCAAAGATGAACGAGCGCAGAAATAATACAAGGTACAATCATTTCAGTGCTCGTTTTTTTTTTTTTTGCTAGACAAAACATAGTGGAACCCACAGACAACGAAGCCGCCACCTTTAGAGGATGAGTCCATTGCCTTACATTGGACCGAAAGTTGTAAGACGCGATGGCTTATCGTTTGATCCCTACCTTCGGGTAGATCATATTTTACCCACTTTATGTCATTACTGCAGCACTATGAAAAGACGGGCTAGTTGGTTTTGTTGCATACTGAAGTTCAAGCTCACACACACGAGGACAAATACGATAGAGACGCAGGGACAAGCGCACTCCCTGTGTCATTGTCGCATTGGTCATCGTGTGTGCGCTTAAGGTTCAGTATGCACTTTATGTACTTTGAATTTATACGTAATTACTTCGCCACAGTAAAAACGCGCTAGTGATGGCCCCTAAACATTTATCGACAGCGCTGCTTGTTGGTTTCATTAGGTTGGTGGTGATTGTTGGCTTGGTTAAGTTGATCACATCGCAAGTTTTTACATACAGCATACAGCTCTTCAGCTGGGATTTTTCTACAAGGCAACTCGTTCCGCTAAAACTGGTGCTAAGCTTGTGAGCGTATGCGGCGAAAAATTCTATGATCACGTAAACTGACGGTGCTGGCCGGTGTTGAGACCGCACAGAGGCGGAACCACGTTGTTGGCGTTGTGTCCCGTCACAATCAACTTCTCGCCGTCGCAGTTGCCGACCGTTGGCCGCTCCAGGTCGAACTCGTCGAAGTCGAGCCGCAACTGGCAGATGCGCTCGCTGAGCTTGAACACCTGCACGGCGCAGCTCGACTGGCCGCCCGCGCCGCCGTCACCGCTAGGAGGCGCTTGGGTAGCACCGGGGGCGGCATGGAATCTCGGGCTGCTGAAGTAGGTGCTGTTCAACGTGATCATGGAGCTGCAGCTGGCGGTCACTGCATTCGTGTAGAAAACAACAACACTTCTGTTTGATCCTCCGGTTAGATAGACAGTCGAAATGCCGTAGGTACCTATGTATAGGCTAAACCACGCCTCTCAAAAGTGCGAAAGATTATTTGAATCTGCGGGAGGATCAATAGTTCGCAGCAATAAGTGTACCTATTGAAATTCTGCGGCTATGTATACGCACGACAGAACAATTGAATATCGCAGCAACAAGACAACATCGTACGTCACACAGCATGAAGACACAGGTGTGGCCACGTATCTTGCATTGTCCCCTTCTGTGTGCAGCACTATCGTACTACGATGTTGTGCGTAATACCCGTCATTCGAATCCACTATTCGACCAAGCCTGCACAAAGGCTGTAACTACAGTTGATTTTTCTCCTGTTGGTTTCGGCAGTGCTCTCCCAGGTTAAATTAATACAATATTATCATTATAGCAACTCCCAATGTACTGTCAAAACAAGAAGAGTTGGAGCAACAAATAATTATCTCATGCCATGTATTCAGGAAATTTCTGCTGCCGATGTCTTTAAGGTAAATAATGCGTAACAAGTGAAATTTATTGATAATAGTTTATTTCGTTGTTGTGTTTTAACTGAGAGGTAAGCTTGTTGTTCCACAGCTACTGATTATCCTGTACACACTTATTGATACTTGCATATTCTGCAAGGAAGGAGTGTGCCGCAAGGAATGGATGATCAGGATACAGGATAACGCTGCCTCTTCTCGTTGCCCGACAAATTTCGGCTCTAAACATAATATACGTTTGCCCCGACGATGGCAATGTGCGGTGAACATTTATCGATAATGCTCTTTTGCGGTGTTAGGGAGGTGCACCTCTGTGAAAAAGTAACAATAAAGACGAAAGTCGCATCGGGCGTAATGTCACACCGGCTATTTCATTCGGCACTTGCCAGAATATTAGCAAATGAAATCAGAAATGAACAAGCTATGCAGTGCGAGATCCGTGCTTCAATCAGAAGAAACATTCTGAACGAACACTAAGAGGAAGATTTTAATTCCGAAGCTAGTAACTAAAGCCCACATCCCGTTTGCTCCTCCGCACAGCAATTCTCACTGATTAAAAGCCTGCCAAATGAAGTGGAAGAAAACTCACTTCCAGGCCGCGCTCGAATGAACTTCTACTTTCGTAATTTGATAGCCTGATGGGACAAGACTTCAAGTTGGTTTTGGTACTAAAACAGCCTGAAAGCTTCATTTTACCTAGCAGCTCTCCAGTTACACAAAATTAATGCCCATCTTGTTCATCTGATCTTTACGAATCAAAACCTTAGTGTGAGCTATGTTTAACAACTAATTGAAACGAGGTGCCTGTCAACGCAAATACGGGATGCAGACTGTGTATTTCGTCTACACTTTAGATAGCTGAGACAATAACTTCTCATTCGTTCGCTCAGGCAGTTAGCCGTGGTGATTATTGCATCTTCGCCATTGTAGCATGCGGAAACGTGCGTATAGTTTGTAAGCCGCATACGTCCCTCTAAGGTCCCTATAAACCAGGTGCGTAACAAGAGCTGCGGCAGCTTGGGCTAGTTGGTGTGACATGACGATAGTTATAGCGCGAGAACAGAACGACGACACAGAGACAAGAAGGACATCCTCGTGTCCTTCGTGTCCTTCTTGTCTCTGTGTCGTCGTTCTGTTCTCGCGCTATAACTATCGCCGTGTAACAAGAGCTTCACATGCCGGGTGAAGTACTAATGTCAATATCGACTATAACACTGTCTTTGTGAAACGCACTAAATATGTGGGCCTCAAATTAAGCTCCAGGACTGATAGTGCCACCATGTTGTCATCAGTTAGACAAGAACAACATACATACAATATACACGAAGAAAATGAGTGTAATCGAACGCGTTGAACGAAGGTCGTAGTTTCGGTTCCTGTCCACGGAAAGTTACCTTTTTGTCCATTTTTCTTTCTCCAAGTTTACGTTACAATTACCTCTAATAACATCCCTTATACTCCCTCTAGCATTATTGCCTGTTTTTTCTCATGAACATATTACGAATGGGTGTCTCAAATGGCAGGGGGGGAAGCGCCCCGCTGGCTGCCCCCCTTGAAGTATTCTATGCTACGGCATAGAATATTTTTATGTGCAGAAGGAATAAGCTTTGCTAACACACTGAGATCTTGTGTGTCTATGTAAAATGTATTACCAGCTTGGTGACTTTGCTCCTAACTCACTCCTAACTAATCTTACCTGTCATATCAAGGCAGTAAAAGATAAGTTGCCCATGCTGAATGACCCCTCCCTCCCACACTGCGCACGCATCTAACTGCAAAAAAGATTTTATGGATACCCTTGCCAAGGTAGTACAGCTTTACGAGAGGGGACTTGACCCCGGACCATTTTGTGTGCAGAAGATACTAGGACGTTGGGCATCTGCCTCAGTTGCGCAGAAAGCAACTAAAGCACTGCTACTTTACCTTAAGTCAACAAACCTGAGCGACCGCCTGTAAACTGTGTGTGCTCCCCGAGTGTGCTCGTGATTGTGTGTACCTTCTCATCTTTCTGCAACCTCTTTTCTCCCCTTTATCCCCTCCCCAGTGCAGGGTAGCAAACCGGATGTGCGTCTGGTTAACCTCCCTGCCTTTCCTTGCATCTTTATCTCTCTCTCTCTCTTGTCGAACAAAATGAGCAATGAGAAAACAGGGTCAAATGGGGGTCTGGGTCTTTTGCTTTGTGAAATTATTTTCGTCGGCGGGTGCTAAAAACGCACTGATAACAAAACATAAAGATGGCCGAAGAAAAAAAATTGATGCCGAAACCCGGGATCGAACCAGGGACCTTTAGATCTTCAGTCTAACGCTCTCCCAACTGAGCTATTTCGGCACGGATGTAGGGCATCTTCAAACAACAGGTAAATCGAAATAATATGAATTATTTATATATGTTTATCACGTAAAAAAAAGAAGGCAGTGAAATGCTGTATTTTTTGCTTGTTGTTGTTGTTGTTGTTGTTGTTGTTGTTGTTGTTGTTGTTGTTGTTGTTGTTGTTGTTGTTGTTGTTGTTGTTGTTGTTGTTGTTGTTGTTGTTGTTGTTGTTGTTGTTGTTGTTGTTGTTGTTGTTGTTGTTGTTGTTGTTGTTGTTGTTGTTGTTGTTGTTGTTGTTTTTCGCCGACTAGATTCGTACCGTACAAAATTCTTGTGCTGAACACATTTACGTGACGTAACGCAGAACTGTGTTGCCACACCGGAGTTGTAGCAAAGTTGCGTGTTGGTCCGGCTAGCAACCACAGCTACGAGGTGACTGCATTTTTTGCGGGCGACGTGCCTTGCATGTAGCCGATCGGCGATGAAAGGGACAAAAAAGAAATTTTCGCGTATCAGTAAATTTCTGTTTGACAATGCCGAACCGCAACTTTTGCGGCGAAAATGCGATTGGAAAGCGAGAAAAGGTTGCAAGAAGAAAATGCTATTGGCGACGCCACCCCGAGCTTCTCACACTGTTCACCATGACGTCTTGGACCGGATGATGTCTACTAGAGCCTATGCTGTGCCTAAGTGGTATTAATGAAGTACACTGTTTTCGAAGAGAGGTCAGAGATTTTGCGTACAAATATAAGAAAATTAGTTGAGGAAATGATGCCTCAATACGAAAAGCGCTCTCTAAAATCCGTGACGTGATGAGCGGGAATTTCGGCGCAATATTTGAAACTGAAACCTGAACCTTGATAGTATACTCAATTAGTAAACCTATGGTTACGAAAAGAAATTCACCTGGGGTTTCAAAGCACAATTGAACATTTTAAACTGATTCATTATTTCACTTCAGTCCACCTTTAACAATACTGGCGATACCTGACATTTACCGAGTTCGCCAAAGCGACGGCACAGGCAAACACAAGAATTGTCCTGAGCACCAGCTTACGCGCAACTAACGGTTGCTGCATTACAGCATATACAGTAACACTAGTTGCTGCGGATGTTTTTTATGTTACTACGTCATTCCAGAAACAATGACAACTATAAGATGTGAACTCGCCGGAAAGCTGACCCAGACAACTGACACGACCGCATTCACTGCCAGAAACGTAGCTTAATGGACACTCGACTAATATATATATTTAACAAGCGAACAAGTGATGCACACACACACACACACACACACATATATATATATATATATATATATATATATATATATATATATATATATATATATATATATATATATATATATATATATATATATATATATATGTATATATATATATATATATATATATATATATATATATATATATATATATATAGCGTTGTGCATTCGTACTCCATTTATCGCATAATATTGTCACACTCGCGTTTATTATGTAATCGTGATGTATTCGGGTTTCACCTACAAGAACTGTTATCAGTGCTCGGCGCAGACTGCGTTGCAATGCTTGGCAAGCATCATGATTGTGTGAAGTAATTTTGCGAAGATTGCGCACCACAGACGAATAGTCTCGGACCTAGACTATTCTCGGTCCTTATCGCTGCTGGCCACGTAAGCCCTCGAATGACCTCTACTCTAGGTCACTCGAGGGCTTGCGCAGCTCTTGCAGCGATAATGCCGGAATTCGATAGCACATGCATGAAAGCCGAAGTGCTTTACCGCTTGGTAGATTACTCGACGGCCGATGCTGTTCTCACCGCTATGAGTGCACGGCTGGTGTCGCTTGTATTTCGCCTCTCCCTTTCCGGGCAGTTCTTCGCACTAATAAAGAGTCACGCATTTTTAAGTCCTACCAGAGACTTCTTCCCCGTCATGGCCACATGACAATACAGAGGGCGTGTTCCTTACGTGAGCAGCACACTCCGAATCCAAAGGCACATGGTCCGTAGGCGGTCCCTCCCCTCTCCATGCACTCCTGGAAGGCGTAGCAGGTACCCTCCTGTCCCCAGCTTCCCGTGCACATCAGGTTGGGAAAGCGCACCACATGTAGCAGGTGCAGGACTGCGATAAGACGTGGTCCAGACGGAAGCTTTACATATAACCTTCTTATTGTCACTAAATACTTACTGCCACTAAACTGCTTGCTCAAGTTGTACATTTTCCTTGCAATAAATAGGTTGTCTATGCTAACCTTCTGTAAAAGGTCGTGGTCTTAGTCAAGCCCATTAGAGGCTTTTTAACCAGGGCCTTCAGCATCGCGAGTGTTGAACAAAGTGTCAAAGTTTCAGAAGTTTAAATCAGTGCACAGCGCTCGTCCGGCGTCCTTCTCCCGAGTATCTGTCAGTTTAGCACTGGTTTTTTTTTTTTTTTTAAGGAAGCAGGCACACTCGTCAGCGAAGGTTTAGCACCACAAGATTACGTCCTCTGGTCGCGTGCCGTCTGCTGTGGAGAGCAGTGCTTTGACACGATTGCTGTGAAGAACATTACCCGGACGGAATTGGCCAGGGAAACACTCTTGACAGCAGAGGACAACGATGTACGTTGTTGGTCAAAAGTTTGCAGGCCACACTTCGAAAGAAATACAAGAGACAGTAGCTAGGGAACATTTGCCCTCCTCTCCATACGTGTATGTACTCTTAGTCAGTTCATGGTTAAATGTTGGCAAGAAGCAGGAAACCAGACAAAAACTGCCCGGCTAATTATAAGATATATTTGGCACTCTAAGTGGGACCTGACAAAAAATGTACAGCAATGATCCGTATACTTTTACTCATGAGTGAACATACGTTTTAAATTTATTCGATGCTTGGAACTTTAGTGCGAACACTTTCGTCTTTGTACATTTTAGTAAAGTATCTCCAGCCTGTTTCTGCCCCGCCGTCATGGCACTCGGCTGCTGACCCGTAGGCCGCGGGATCGAATCTCGCGTGCGGCGGCTGCATTTTAGATGGAGGCGAAAACGCTGTACGCCCATGTGCTCAGAGATGGGTTCACGATAAAGAACCCAAGGTGGTCGAAATTTCCCGAGCCCTCCACTAAGGCGTCTCTCATAATCATACGGCTGATTTAAGACGTTAAACTCCTGAAATTATTATTATCTCCTATCCTTTTCGAAGACGTGGGAAGCTGCGCATTTCGCTGACCCGTACCTGCATACTTTGTTGACGCTATGACAAAGTATGACGCTATTACGAATTATTGCTGCGTCATTTGTGATCATTATAAAGCTTTGCACCCCTCACGCGTTGCACAATTTGCATCCTGTGAGACTTACGCTTTTGCTACATAATACTGTGTGTGTTTAAATGTATACAATGCGAATAAAATAGCTAGAACTATATATACAAAAGTGCATGGACAATATAAATAACATTTTGGAAGAAAGACTTTTCTAAAATGGAATAAAGCAGCATATTCCTATTGCAGGGCCTGAAACATTGAAAAGATGTGATATATGCAGGTGTAATGACCCGACTTGACCAGACAAGTACGTTAATAACAAATATATAATGGAAGAAAACAAGAAACTGCTATGACTTGGTGGTAGGGCAGTTGACATCTACGCAGAATGCGTGGTTTTAATTCTGGCTGGAACTCTGGTCTCCAAAGGCGCCTCTGCATGAATGCCAAAAAAAAAAAATTTCGTTTCCAGCAAAGATTAGAAAAAATGAAAAATACTGGGTCGATTACGCCTGTGCATATAAAAAAATGACTCTAAAACAATATTTCAGTGCAAAACAAGCCCTAGAAGTCACATGATCTAAAACCCTTTCTGCGCTGGCCCCCGCCATTTCACCGTGACTTGTGTCAAGTCATGCGCTGCATGGCGCGGAGCAGCCGTCTTCCAGCAAAATTTCTGCCACTGCAAATTACTCAATTTCAATGCCAAGCTGAAGAAAGCTCAAGTGTACCACTTATGCGCGCAGCTGACCACGGAACGATATCGTTCGACGGAATGCAGACGTTGAACAGCTATAGCTGCTTCTTACGTCACGACCCTTTATAAAAAAAATAGTAGTGGCTTATGTCGGCTATGTCAGGATATATGCCAAGATATACGGAATGGCGCACGCACAGACACACTCGTGGACGGACGGACTTGCGGAAGAACTCACGCGAACGAAGCACCCGATCTCTGGTGACACACCATGTCAGAAGCTTTCGGACCTTCCCCGGCGTGCCAGCTTTGTGCCGCGTGACGTCACAGCTACTCGGGAATGCGCAGCATGACTCACGATAAGCCACGTGACATTGCTCAACCTCTCCCAGTGTTGCTCGTGCCTTAAACCCGAAAACGCGAATGACCTGTGAGTCTGCAGGCGCTAATTTTGGCCTACTCCCAGGCCGCTCACGTTTTTATGCAAGTATTCAGTTATAATATAGGTGCTCAGCCAAACGCGCTAACATTTTCTGAACGAATTCGCGAAAGCGCAAGGATTAACTCATATAGCACCGGTTGTGATGAAAAGTTGGGTATCCTTGCTCCGTTTAGTATCACGCTGGGAAGGTCATGTGATCCACCAAAATGGAAGCAAGAGTGCAAGTTACAAGCACGTGTAATGACCATCCCTGCCATCATTGCCCTAAAAGTCGAACGCCATGAAGAAGGATCCTTCCCGACTACGTAAAACCCACGAATACTGCTTGCGGATCACTGCCATGATTTTGTGAATTTCATTTTTGCAGTTTTTACCGTTCTTTCAGTATCTCTGTCATCTTCAGTAGTGTTTGTCTTTGTCCGTTCTTCATGCCAACTCTAATCCACCACGGATTGCCTATTCTACGCGCTGTGGGGCATACTTTGTTACTTAATCTCAAATCTCACTTCCGGTGCTAACGACGACAGTGCGCAATGCTAGCTAAGCACTTCCGGTTGGATGCACCCAGGGATATCTGCAGTCGTCGACCTGCTCACCTGCCTCTTCTTTCCTGATCTTGCCATCGTATTGACCTCTTTTGAACCCCGATTCACTTTCCATTCTAAACAGAGCCATCCTTATTTGCCTATGCACGGTATGCATATAGTAGCCAGACGCGCCCACGTAAACACCTGGCGGCGTCTGGTTTCGTCACACCCATGTACTTCCTGGGCACGGCTTTCTACAGGCGTATTTGTTTTTTCGCCGTATCGCATTTCCTGGAACGGCCATGTGCGACTCCCAGGGTTACGTGCCCCAAGTAGCAATGCCGTCGTGATACTGCACGATGTCGTAAGAGGAACAACGACGAACGAGAAGCACTGCCTTCGCATGACTTCCGTGTCAGATAACATTCAGAGCAGGCTGGCACAAGCACAGCGTGGTCGCTTCATTGCTGTTTATAGGTCAGCCTTCTTTTATTTCTAACTTTGTTTATGCAAGAGTTGTTCACCGCGTTGGGGAATGGCCTATAAAGTTGTCACGCGGAGCGCTTGAAGAGGATGTGAGCGCATCGCTGATGTCCCGCAACGTCACGATCATCACTCGCCATACACCCTTCTCTGAGGGTGTACCAGCAAAGAAAAGGGTGTTACATTCATTCAAAAAGAATGTAAATCTGTAAAACACCCTTTTTACACCCATAAGGGTGTAAAAATATTACTGTGCACAGCGCTGCCTCACACGTATGAGCCTGCAGTGAATGTCCACGCTTTCCACAGCAAGTGTGTCTAAAGAGACGAGAAAAGATGATATGCAACACATGGACGTATTCCATGTTTATAAACAGCGGTATAGGCGCCGTCGACGAAGACGTTTGTAGCAACGCAGAGCGTGGGCCCCACAGAGCTCAGAGCGCACCACCACCCTCTACGATCACGTGCCAGCTGGCACAGAATCTGAAAAGCTGCCTCCCAGCACAGATCATCAACACTTTGGCGAGGATGGCTCCTCCCCAACGCCGTATACAAAAATCGAAGACTGTTGACGTAGTTTTCGAATAACAAGGCAACCTCTTTCAAAGAAACCTTAGATGGTACGGTAACAATTTTTCAAACAGTGAAATGATTCTGAAAACTTCTGCTTGAAACAAATATTCACAAGTTTTAACTAAGAGACGTTACAAGAAATTCTAACACAAAAATATTACAACCATTTTGCCGCAGGAAAGCTCGTGCAGAGCAGCAACTGGAACGATCGCAACTGTTTGTGCCAGCAGCCTGAAGTTTTGCAGTGGCTGCAGCATCCCACTGATATACAGCTTTTAAACAACCTTGATGCATAAACATTTCGAAGTTTTTCATGTGTTAGCATAATCAGGCTAAATATAGCGGATTTATTTTTAACTTATTTATTTATTTGTTTATCTATTTTTAAAATACTCCGGTCAAAAAGTCCAAGCAGGGTGGAAGCAGATGAAGCTGTTGCTTCAGAGACACTGAAGTTTTAAGCAAGAACACCAGTATACTGTGATCAACATTGCGTCACTGATCCGGCAAGCTTAAGTGCTGCATGCATCTGGCTAAGTCGATGATGAAAAACAAGAAAAGTTGTCTCTAACAACTCTTTCGAGCAACATTCTGGCTGGTAATTATTTGAAAAATATTCGATATTTCGAATGTGCACCATTTGGTTCGAGTACTGAATCACACGGAACACTATTTGATCCGTCATTGAATTTTTTAAATGTCCCGCCATCACTCACATGCATCTTCACACGTATTGCGATCATGTCGATCATACAGCCTCCTGATCAATGGTGGAGTCAGAGCTTGGGTGTTCAAAAGGTCCCACTTCGCCTCCCACCACTCAACCCACCACTCAACCCGAATAACAAAGCCTGGACTACGTCCCAGCTTCCACCCGCTACACATTCACGCATCACCCACACTGGAATATTTTTTTTGTTATAAACTTCACAAGACAAAAGAGCTTAAGCACTTTCGTGGTGCTTAATTTACAAGGATTTCTGTTGGCGGATGGTTTATGTGCCTTGATAATGGCGGCGATAACTCGAGACAATAAAATGACAGCACGAGGAAATACCTTAATTTCATTCCGTTTTTTTTGGCACCACAAGCGCATAAGAAAACAAAATAAAGAAAGAGTGCCGAAACCCGGGATCGAACCAGGGACCTTTAGATCTTTAGTCTAACGCTCTCCCAACTGAGCTATTTTGGCACGCATTCGAAGGCGTCGCCAATTTTTCACATAGTGTAAATGCTCCCGTAGCTTCGTACACTTGGACAGACAGTAGCACTACAACTTCTTTATGCTCTTCATGTCATGCCTCTCGGCTGCTTTGAAGGTTGCGGATTCCGGTCTCATTGGCGGAAAGAGTGCAATGTCGTCGACATTAATTTCTATAAATTTAATTCAGAACCGCAAATAATGACCCGTGTGCTTTTTTTAAATCTTAATTGTTTGTTGGTTTCCCCAGTTATGCACAATACAAAAAAAAAACAGGCCTCTCGAGCAATTTTCCTAAGGCTGTTGTTTATATAAAATTCAAAGTAGAATATTCACATTCCACATACTTTGTTACGACTACACTGTTTGGAATACGCACCGTAGGCTTAGTGAGCGGGTGTAGATCATTACTGTCGCAGGATTTATAAGCTCCGATAATTTCAGCGATCGATAAATATTCACCTTGCACCAAGCAGACACCATCTACATTTATGACGTCATTGCCAGTTTGGGTACGAACTTGACGGTGGTGCATGCATCCTTTTTACGTGTATGTCTCGACCTAAAAACCTCTATATACCTATCAAGAACGGCTGCGAAATCAAGAACTGCTTCTCCTATCCAGTGATGCAGAACTATCGACAGCATTCTCAATACAATTGATGGTTGGGTCACTATCGAACTATCGATGGTGCGATCCCAATCAAAAGCACTATGATAGTTCGATGGTATACTATGAAACATTAATTTCGATAGCAATTTAAAGAGTGTAAAACCGACTGCGCGAACTCATCGATCCGTAAACTTGGTTACCCGTGGACGTAGTCCATGGTTGTGGGGATAACTACGGCAGGAACGGCAAGGCAGCGCTATATCTTGAATTTATTCACTACAACATGGAGCGGACAGCTCCAAAAGTATTTCTTTGTTTACTTATGTACCTTTGGACCTACTAGCTTTTTTCATGTGCTGATCGGCAAAAGAATACAAAGCAAGCAAATCAAAGCACAAATCACGAACAGAAAAGATATATCCGCCCGAGAATTCGAAACAAGGCCATCCGCCCGGGGCACACAAAAACGATCAAGGGAAGCAACAAGGGTAGCTGATAACACGTGGCTTTGTGATTGCTCGTTCACTCAAGCGAAGGTGCTGCCTTTTGGACGCCGAAACAAAATTTTCAAGTGAGATTACTCGCAACAATTTGCTTGAAAGAAAGGTTGCATTGTCCATATGCCCTTGGCCTACCTGTTCTTGGTGGTTAACCACTTCAGTTTTCGCAAGGAATTCTGAAGACAACATTTGGACAATATCTCGAAGCACAAATCTAGTTGGTCCTGCAGCTAAACCAACTATACAGCATTTGGTTCACAACGATCTTCCGGCAGCAAGCCAAATTCTGTGGTTCGCTGAGAGGCAACGGGTTGAGCACTAAACTACCGCTACAAACGCAGAATTAATGGTTCGCCACTACTTGGGGTTACCTCCAGAAACAATGAAAAACAAGCCTTTAGAATTCTGCCACTCTTGGCATTGCGCTACAACGCCGCGTCTTGTCAAATGGCATGTCTTCCGCTGCTGAACAGATCATTTCAGAAAAAATGAGCAGGCTAAATAGAGCGAATATTGACGTGATTGTGTTCCTTCCCCAATATGCTTGGCTTACAAATGATGAATAAATTCAACGGTGAAGCCATAGCGGCAAAGAAGCCTTCCACGTCACGAAACTGAAAGAGCTCGAATTTGTGTTGCGTTCACTCCGTGGATATGCTGTGATTTTTAGTCTGAAAGAAACGAGAAAAGGACGACTGAATGCACCAAAACGAAAGTTTAAAAGTAGCAAGAAAGCAGCCACGGAGCCGACCGAAAAGCTTTTGTCGCCACACGGGGTCGAAATGCCGCCAATTCGGCTCAATGTACCAACCTACGGCCAGCCTACTTCATGCCACCAGAGTGAAAATTGGCATGAAGTAGTGTGAAAAATAAGACAGCGATACCACAGCTCTTTCTTGGTGAAGTGTTTTGAGTGCATCATGCAGTGCTAAAAAAAGTCAGCTAAAACTTTATGCAAAACGGGAAGTTATTTCAATCTCGAAGCAAGTGTTTTTCCTTGTCTGGGAGATGATTTAGACTCCAACCAAAAGTTTTGAAGAAACCGGACGTTTTGAAATCGACTTGGTTGTTTCCTCAGGGGTGACTGTGTAGCTACGTAGCAGCGGCGTCTTCAAAGTACTCGTGAGGCGGATAATGAGAGTCTAAATCATCTCCCAGTTTCATACCCAACCAGACAGACTTCTGTCGAATGTTTACATTCAAGTTTTTCCTTGTCTACGCGTAGAAAAATAGTGGGCGATTACTGCCGCTTTCTGATTGGGAAAAAAGCGTGGTTGCACAAGAACACACTTGAAGAAATAACCTAACACCTCTGCCTGAACTTTGCTATTAATACACACAAAGGTCAACATACGAAATTGCACAGCGGCACCTCTGTTAGGGCCTAATCAAGTGTGGGGCCAACGGATCGGCTTTATGCTCTCCCAGAGTAGAGTATCATGCACTCAAAATCGTTAACCACTTAATCTAAAGGACAGCAATTTCCTTTCACCACATCTCGTTTTACGAGAGTAGACATTCTTACTTTTAATCGGGTTTTATTGCGCGATCATCTTTTCTACAATAGTGTGGGAATGATTTTGGCGTTTTACTGCAGATATTTTTCGTTCAGGACAAGGATAATGTGTGTGTGTGTATGGGCCAGGCCAGCACAAGCTGGACAGTCAAATGACTTCTTTAGAGACCTGGATGCGTAGGCATATCAGTCGGGGGAGCAAGGAGGACGCAAGCACCCCCACTGAGAAAAGCTGGGGGGCTGAGCCACCCCCCCCCCC